TGATGACTATCAAATTTTTTTTTTCTGTTCAATAGGCTTGAGTAATTTTTAAACAGATTTTTATAAAATTTATAAAGTACACTAGCTTGTAAACAAACAACAAGTTAATATCTTGAATAATGGTGTTTATAAACTAAAATCTACATGATGTTATTTTCATAAAAAATCAACCGAATTTTTTTTTTATTTTAATTTTATATTCAATTGATACTAAATTATTTGATTTTAATTTAATTTCAACTATTCTGACACATTCTGCAATTGAGAAAAGTTTTCTGACTATACATGCAGTCGAAGTGATGTTTCGTTCGCTAAGGAAGTGGCGTTTAATTTGTTTTTTAATTCAAAGTTTTTTTACTTATTATCTTTATAAATTTTCTGTAATATCAAAAATTTATTAAAAAATGAATTCTACCTTTTCCTGGGATGCTTAAGCAAATTGTTGTCTGCATTTAAAAACCATAATAACAGATGTATGATTTCTGTAACAAAACTATCAACCATTTGGTAAAATACACTCGGCAAATATTTCATTTAGCATGTCTAAATATAAAGACATAAATGATGAGTTCACATCTTTTATCTCTGTATCTGAACATAGACACTGCATGTCTTTTGCTAAATATCCCTGTGATGTATGTAAGTATTGAAAATATGGTCCATCATTCCTTTTGTTATTCGCTTTGCTCCCAAACATGAAAATCGATTATAACATATTAATTTTTAATAGATCGTAAAAAATGTGCAATATGTTTTTTGGTTATGATCAATGGTTTTCTTCAAGAAAGGAAAGTCAAAACCACCATATCCTCAAAAACTCTAAGTAATCGATTCAAATGAATTGAATTTATTGATTTGAAATCTTTCTCAGGTTTCGATTAATTTAAAAATAATTCGAGTAAAATAATAATTCCAGCGTTATTTCATTGTTTAAGAAGTAAGAAATCAAACATAAAAGTGTACATTATGCATATCAGAATTAAGCTGTTAAGCTTATCATAGTTCAATTGCATATTGTACTTTCAATAAATTGTTTCTTTAGCGCCTTCTGAGAAAACTACAAAAATCAAACCATAAAACTCGTGAAACTCTCACCTGCATCAGTATGAAAAAATATTTATACCTGTATCAAATTTCTTTTTATTCCTTTATTTTGTTACGTTTTTCGTTGCAATTTTTTGTAAAAGATTTTTCTCATAATAGACGGTGCCACTTTACGCTTATATGTATATCTAATGTATTAAAAACGAGGGTTGTTTTTTATTATTAGAAATTTGACACAATATTTTTTTATTTTTGAGTCAAATGTCAAGTGGGGTCAACCTGTAGCAGTTTCATTATTATATCAATATGAAGGTTATTTTTTATATACAAGTATACATACATATATGTATAGATATTTAAATGATATTCGATAAATGAAAGATAAAGATATTTAGAAGAACATCTTTATTTTTAGAAGAAAAAAATATACATAACAGAATTCTATGCTGAATGTTGACTAAAAATTGAAATATCATCAATATTTTAAGTAGATCAGGTAAAGAAATATGTAAACTAAAGAGTGCAAACCGTTAACTTCAATAAAAAAAGGGTTGCTTAAACATTTCAACTTTACTTTGTTTTATGACAGCACATAATGAAATAAATAGCTTCACTTCCAAGAAGTCATTTTTTGATGATCATTAGAAACTTTACTGTTTTTTACGACTAAGTTAATATTCTTTTACAGTAATCTTACAAGAAAAATCATGGCAATTCCAAATTTTTTAATCAAAATGCATTCTAAGTGATAAGACAGTAACAATTGAATGTCTCCATTTAAATTGAAAAATTTATGTTTATGTAAAGTTTTGTACATTTCTAAAACACAATTTGATATGTTTGCGTAGCTTACCTGGGATAAGTTATCAATAAATTGAAGCTACATTTTTTAATGACGAAGTATTTTTGGCATATATGCAAACACATATTTAAATAAACATAGCAATTATCAATTAACTAATAATCCTTGTTTTTTTTTATTTCAAAGTGTAAAATTTTATGAGCAATTCATTTAAATAGTAAAATTGATATCTATGTAAAGATACATATTCTATTCGCTACTGTTAATAATATAGAATGCTTCTTGATTATATTTCCGTTTAAATTACGAGAATCAATAATTCATTAAACTTCTATTGTTGAGATTTAAATTTTTATTTTTAAAAAGAATTTTTATATTGTACATAAAATGAAATTTTGTTTAAATTATTGAAGAAAAAATTTCATGTTAGATATTTTAATTAATTCTGCCAAATTTTGACTGGAGGTTTAAAACCTTCAAAATTTTGAAATATCTTCCAAAATTCGTTTTTCTTTTCTTCAGAAAATTGTCGTAATGAAACTAATATCTAATTTATGTTAAATGCATAGATCACGAATAAGAATGATTTTCTGAATTTTTATTCTATGTAGGATTTATCCGTTATTGTTAAACTCCACTAAAGCTGTTAGTTAGTTTGTATTTTTGCTTCATTTATAGCTAAATCAATGAGAAAAAGAAAAAAATCCTCTAATTTCTGTTAAGGGTCAAATACATTATATGCTCAATAGAAATAGTGTTAAAATCATAACTATTCAGAATGTGTCTCAAATTTTTGCAAGGGTCAGACCAGAAACAAAAGAAATTCTGACCAATGTCAAAAGGGGACATAAATATGACCAAGGGTTCAAGGTTTAAATTTATTGCTATTTTAAATTGGAACAAAGATCTCAAGAAAAATCTATTAAATTTATTTCCCAGATCTAAAATAATATCAGACTTGTGAAAATTTTCAAATGAAACTAAATGAAGTAACAATTTATAATAGAGCATAATGTATCAAAGCTGTACATACATTCTATGTAATATATTGGATGTAAGTAGTAAATTTCTTCATCCAAAAATTGTATAACTGATTTTTAGAGACAGTTGAGAATATGTTATTCCTTAAGTTCAGTTAAATTTCATGATATGTAATAAAATCAGAAACGTACGAAAAATTTCAGAGTCGCAAAAGAATTTGTATTAATCAATTAAAATATTGCTTAGACACAAACACAATTCATAAGTTTCACTTCAATACATTTCATAATTTTATAAAAATAGAACCAATTTATATACTAAGGGATGGTCTTTTTCTATCACTTTTTGTAGTTTTTCCAAAAATGTTACCCAAAGCCTATGGAAAATAATCGACTAAATACTTTACTATTTATGTTTATTAATGATGTTTTACCTTAGAAAAATTCACTCCAACAGTATTGACACCAAGTTTTCTTCGTATTGGCAAATGTTTTTGTAAGTAAATTGCGCGTGCTTCTTTAAAGAGATAATGAAAACTTAGTTGAACACCTAACCATGATTCAGCGGCAGAGGTTTCGTAAAATTGACAGTTATAAGTGTAGCTCAATCGTTCTCCTTCCTTTATGGCAACTTCGCTACAATGGTTTACAAATCGTTTTACAAGAAAATGACAAAACGCTTTAAATTACAAATTTTTCATACCGGGAATGTTCTAAGTCATTTTTGTTTCCTAAAAGGAGAACTGTATAATAAGAAGGAAGCTTGATTTTTGTGACTTTCTTAAGTATTTTTTCAGCTTCTTTAAACGAATCTCGATCAACAATGGAATAGACTACGATGAATGAATCGCCCCATCGGATTTGGTCAAAACTGTTTCCTTGCTGTGCAAAAACAATAAAAATATTATTATTTTAGGTAATCATTTCACATATTTTAAAAATAAATCTTACATTTGATGCATCTAATATTTCAATTTCAGCTATCGTGTTGTCTTCGAATGTAACATCATGCTTATATAAAAAATCTGACAGTAATATGGATTTATGAGTTCATTATTATTATTATTAGGTAATTTTAAGAAAATAAAAAATAATTTTTAAACTAAAATTTACCATTGGACGAACTATATTCGGATATGAATCTTTTTGTTAAATAGCGAACAGTTATAGCTAAAAATATAAGTAAATCCATTAAATGAGAAGTTAAGCTTTAAATCATAAGAGCTCACCAGATTTTCCAACACCTTTTGAACCGCAAACAGCTATTTTTGTTTTTAAAACTGAATTCATCTTCAAACTTATCTGTTAATTAAGGTTTAAAAAATTATGCCAAACTTAATATGTAATAAGGTTTCAATAAAAAAATTGCCAAAATTATTTTAAATGAAAGTTTAAAAATTACTTATGAAAGGAGTATTAAAAGCGTTATTGCAATCTGAACATATTTCTTAGACTAACTCAACGAATTTTAAAAAAACTGAATTTATTGAATGAAATCTGAATTTTAATAATTAATTAATATCCTAAGAGGAACAACAAGGCAGAGTAAAACTGTTCTCAAAAGTACATCGATGGACGTACGTTACAGCCAGCATAGAATAATTTTAGGATCATCAACATCAGAATTTTTGGAAACTCAATTACTACAGAACCAGAAATGGTTGAAAGAAGAAATTCAGAAAGAGGTGAACTGAATTTAATGCGCATAAATATCTACATATCGATATGTAGGTATTTTCAAAAGAAAACAAAGATACAGTGGAAAAATAAAAATAATATTCACATGAGAAAGAAAGTGAAGAGGAATAAAGAAGTGAATGATCAAGTTATTTCGAAGATGGTTGTATGTAATTAAAATTTATGTGATATATAAATAATTGTATTCATGTAGCACAATGTTATTAACACATAAAACAATGTATAAAGCGAATAAAGATCAGTGAGTTGAAAGTGAAATTTGCGTATGGAACTTAGATATTTTGAAGCGGTAACAGTGGTGATGTAATAGAAGCCACGACAAGACACGACCTCTACTCTTTTAATATACTTTCACTGTTTCTACTAATGTATTTTTTTCTCCATAAACAAAGATTTTGTATGACAATGTAATGTTTTTAATTATTTAGTTGCATTATTTTATCTGTTCACTAAATACTGTTATTAAAAACCTAATATTTTGATAAACTACATGTAAAAATTTTGACTTCTTTTTAATGTACACTCTATGGAGCTTAAAAAAGCTTAAACGCGAAATGCAAGCCAGCGCGTTTCATCGCAAACTGAGTGACGTATTTTTCTTTTTTCTTTTATTTAATAATGAGAGAAATTAAGTTGATCGTGAGACTATATTCAGGTTTTTTCTTCTTACCTTGTGAATTTGCAAAGCGAAGAAATTTCGTGAACCGTTTGTATGCATGTGTTCACATTTCTGAAATATTGTCTTAACGTTAAAAGATATGTGAAATAATTAAGTAATAGTTTACCACATTTTTTTAATTAACAATTATTTACCTAAAATCAATTACTCAAAAGTGATCATGGGCTAAATTTGATTGCTGATTTTGAGCACACATACCTAATCATTAATTATTTTATGCAAATGGTTACTTACTTTTTTATGTTTTCTTTAGACTGTACGAAACTCTTCTCTATCTTCTTTTAAGACAAATTAATATTATTATAATTATACCAAATTGTGATAATTTCCAACCTACCTAGGCAAATATATAGCTATTGAATTTGGCTTTTACTGCAATTTGGCTTTTAGTCATGAAGATTGTGCAAAACAAATTAAAAATACGAAATATAAATTTTTTAATATTGTATCTATATACTTGAAAGCCTAATTTTTTATTCTAAAATTATTAGCTTCAAATGAACATTTCAAAATATTTTTACTATCATATATGCAACTACCTATTTATTTTTCTAACAAAATCTTCTGAATGTACTTTTTTAATTATAGGTAGGTAATTTGCTTAGCAAGAAAAGAACAAATAAAGTATCTATTAACAAAAACTTTCCTGGATTCCAGTTGCTGAACTTCGAAATTTATTTGGTCTCGTTCACTTGTTTCAATGTCATATTAATGGAGCAACTTCATGTTTGACTTACATACTTTATTCAATTAGAAAAATATTTTAATATAGTTGTTGTCATCTGAATCAAGTTGATTTAATAATTGTTCGATAACAGTATTTTGAGTTTTAATTTCCGTGTTTTCTAATGGCTTTGTTGTATTAGTAAAATGTCCAATTGTTAAATAATCAGTGTAGGTACACAATTTGATTATTCTTAAAGCTAGGCTAATTATAACACGTTTATAGCTTTTGAAAGCTTCGTATTTTCCATGCATAAGAATCAACTCTTCAATCATATTCAAGTCATAAATTATTAGGTTCAACAGGTAAAGCAAACTGTTTAATTTTGTCATATTAATAGTTTCTATTGAGATGTTCGGAAAGAGATATGCGATAAGACCTTCTAAATTGTTGACTTTTGCTTCATCACTAAGACCAACATTTACGAATCGATAAATTTCATTTAAATTGTTATCATGCACATCATAATATTGGATATCAAATAACTTTGAAAGCACGAAATGGCGATGATGATAGCAACTGTAATCAGCAATATTTTTGCGGATAAATTTTTCTGTTTTTATGATTTCATAGCTAAGAAGATTTGGTGCTTTTTGTAAAACCCATTGCCGATGATTCCATGCATGATAATTTCCATTTTTGCGTTCAGAACATCTTTCACATAAGCTTATTTCTACAGCCCAGTCGATTGCTTCTCCACCTGAAAAGAATAGAAATTATTTATGTAGATTTTTCTTATAAGAAACTTTAACTGACTTTACTTTGAAACGAATAGAGCCAACGACGGTAAAAGAAAGCCTCTGATGACTTTGGTTTCTTGCTTAAAACAAGAGAAGAGAATTGGAACTCTTGGGTGAGATTTAACTGCACACGTTCGACTAAATATCTTCGTATATTCCAAAACGTTGCCACATCAGGATTGATAAGAATAGCGCAGTTCAAATATTTAACAATCGATGCTGGTAATCTGTTCTGCTTTCGGTGGCTAATAATTAATTGGTGGGCATACTGGTACACGTACCTAATACACCAACTCTCGATGCCTAAGTGGTTGTGAACTAATCGAATAGGCGATTTATTTTGTTTAAATGGTACTTGAATAACTTCAAACGTTTGCCTAAAAAGAACAAAGACTTTTTCAAAATAAAAATACATTGAGTCGATAGATATGTCATATTTTGTAAACTCAAAGTCAAATCAATTGGAGAAAATTAATTTCATTTGATAACACAAAAAATGTCTTACACTAAAGATTGACTATTTTTCAGCACTTTATCCAACTCATTTATGACACGCTCACAGAATACTTTATCTTCATTCATTATAAATGCTTCCATAATTAACAAATATTTTAGTTACATTTCAAACATATTTTTTTATTCTTTTTAGAATTTATTCTGTTTTTGACACTTAAAATTTTTATTTTGGTCTCTACAGCGTCGATTTCATACCCCTTCTGATGTTTCAAAAAACGCTTTCGACAAGTCGACAATTCTTCAATTTCTTTTCAACTTACTTCGGCATTTTTAGTTGAACGCCTGTGAAATAAAGCGTTTGCTAGTCCACTTCATATCTCAAAATACAAAATAAAGCTATCATTTATAATTTATAGAGATAAACGAACAGGTTTTCTAGTTGAAACCAAAAGTTAATTGAAAAGATAAACATAGGTTTGCAAACAATTTGAAGTAAGTTTTTTTTGTTAGAAAAAAAATATTGAATGATCAATAATTTCAAAAAAATCTTTATTTTTTATAATTAAGTGTCACAATAACATTTGATAATATTTTCATTATGTTTAGACGCTCTTGTGCTTACAAAAGTATTGAAAATAGTAAAAATATAGACACCTATTGTAGTTAAGCAATGGTTTCTGAAAGTGAAAGCATTTGTAGCTTTTTGTAAGCGTCTAAAGCTAATATTTGATCTGATGTAAATCTCTTTTATAATGAGAATCAATCAATATTGCCTAAATATGAATTTCGTTTTTAATTATGTTTCATATAATTTTTGTAGACATGGATAACACTGATATAAACAACGATGGAAATATTATAAAACTTCGAGGTCTACCATGGAATTCGGGTCCCAAAGATATCTTGGAGTTTCTTAAAGATTGTCATGTGCTTGAAGGAGAAAAAGGAGTTCATTTGGCTATAAGTCATCGTGATGGCCGTCCAAATGGAGAAGCTTTTGTAGAACTTGCAACACCTGATGATGTTGACAGAGCATTTGAATACAATAAGAACGTCCTCGGTCATCGTTACATTGAAAGTATGAAGTGAAGTATAAGTTATTAAAAAAAGATTTAATGATTGTTTCGATTTTAGTTTTCAACGCTAAACCGGAAGAGTTTGAACAGTGTTTGAAGAGACAAAATCTAGTTCAACAAGATACGTTCATCAAATTACGTGGATTACCATTTTCTTGCAAACCAGAAGATATTGAGAATTTCTTCGAAGGTAATTAAAAGCTTTTATGAGCCTCTAACATATGTTCATATGATCTTCACTTTCTAAAATCTATTCAGCAATTGATTTAGATTAAATATTGTTCTGAGGGGGTAGCGAGATGTTTTGTCAATATTTATAAATGGGCGGGATTGTAACAGCATCAAGCAAGCAAGCGCCTTCATTTTTCAGTTTCCATATTTTTGACAAACATACCTTAAATCTCGAAACGTTTTTCTGTCCCTTCCAATCTTTTGTTTACGGAGAAAAAGAACTTTATATAGTAACCTGCAAGCATTAAGTTTCATATATTCATGTAGAACATCATGAGTATTTTTTGATTAATTTAGAAAATAAGCAGAAAATGATTATATGAGATATGTCTTGCAAGAAACCTCGTGGTGGGTGGTATTAAAAGTAAAAAAAAAACTTATTTATTATCTATTTGATGGGCAAATTTGTTATCGAAAACTAGGGCTGGAGATAAGAAATGGAGCAAGTGGTATCTATATAGTCTATGATTCGAGAGGAAGACCAACAGGGGAAGCTTTCGTACAATTTTGTAATTCTGAAGACACTGATTTAGCAATGAAGAAAAATCGGGAAAAGATTGGGCACAGGTCAGTTGTTTCCTTAGCCACAGAGTTGGACAATTTTATTATGCATCTATTTTATTTTCTTTTATATATAACTATATATGTACATATATATATAAGTATATATATTTAATATTAATTTAATATTATATGGAT